CCTTACTCCTTTTTTTTTTTTGAGAGATTTTCACTATAGGGCATGTGTGCTTGCCAGACAGAGAGAGACATAGAGACAGAAAGTGAGAAATCACCCCCCAGGGGGGATGGTCATCCCGCAATCCCTTCTCCTCCATTCTCCTCTCGGGATCTTGGGCATGCACGCACACGCGCCCGGCGTGAGTTTTAAGCCACCAGGTCCGGGACGTGAACCGCGGTCGACTACGTGGGAGTCCAGCAACATAGCCATTATGCTAACTGCTGGTTCCCCTCCTTACTCCTTCTTGAGACTTTTCTCTCATTCATTGATGGGTAATGTTCCTCCTAAAGATAACAATCAGTCTCTGTGACTGTTGACCCTAGGCCAAGACATTTCCATATATTTATCATGGTTCTTTCTATCACCCAGGACCCAGAATTTCTATGGTAGTTTGTTTTCATTTTTCTCTTAGATCCTCTGAAAGCTTCCTCTCTAACCTGAAGAGACTTAGAGAGATTCTCTCTCCCTCTGCCTACAGCTGGTGCAAATTAGTCTATAAGGAGTAGGTAAAAGATATTCAAATTCCCTTCTCTAACTACCCCCCTCCAAGAAAAGTTAAATATTCTCTATGATTATGTTAGACAGCTACCTGAATTGGACAGAAGGCTATGAAATTCCAGGACTGTTATCCCCCGAGTTGTCTTCTGAAGAAACCATCTCCGAAGGGTTGTTTTAGTATATGCTCTAACCTGTAGGACAGATAATGTAAGAAGCCAACTCTACTTTTTGGCTACAAGTGGCCAGACCAGGGCTCAATGACTTAGCTAAGAACAACACAGAGGGTGAACCTAAGAAGATCATTCTCCATGAACATGGTTTGGCTCAAAATTCTGCACAGTAGAAGGCCACCATTTTAGGTGACAGGACAATCCAATCAGATATTTTTTTTTGGAAATACAAAAGTTGAATGAACAAAGTAAAAGAAGAGTTCAAATCCTACCTTAAGTATTGCTAAGTTATTGTTCTATAAGGTTTTGAACTCACTGGGACCAAGAAACAATGTGGTTGATGAGATGATTTCCCATTCAACCCTCATCACCAAAGGTAGCATGTATGTGCCTCTTCCTTCTAACCTGTAAGGGCTCAACACATCATATTACCACTTTTGAAATTAGGAAACAGGTTCAAAAGTCCAAAAGATTGATCAAAGTCAGTTGGTAGGTAGCACAGTCAGAATTTAAAGACCACATTAACAAGATTCTTCTATAAGATACTGCCAGTTACATGGGCAAGTGGCCTCAAAATCAACAAAAGACAAGTATTAGTTGACATAGGTCCATTGTGAAGGGTTCAAAGGGAAGAGTTTACGCACAAAAATAGAACAGAAATGTTCTAGAAGTATGCTGGAATGTGAAGTGGGAGAGGGGACATGCCAGGTCAAATTAATCTGTATTTTTTTAATATTTTTTTGCAATCCCTTCTCCATTTCTCTGTCCTGAGAAGATTTTGGGTATGCACACATATGTGCCCAATGTGTGTGTGTTTTGTAATATATTTTATTTTATTTTAATTTCTTTTATACATTCAATCACTATGCATCACTTAGCTTGTAAAGTGAATTTTCCAACATGAATACATTTTTAATCTGTAATTCTAACCTGATGTCTTTCCTGAGCTCCAGACTTAGCTTTCTTCCTTAAATATCAGATCAATAGGGCAGAACTTTAATCTCTAGCTTTTCACCACAGATTAAGGCAAAATTTGGCTTATAGTAAGTACTCAATAAATATTTCTTGAATGAGTGGATAAAGTGAATGAATTATCAAAGAAGCTAGAGGAACAGAGCATTGGAAGAGGATGTCACCATGAAACAGACTTTAGGGGTCCCTTACAAGTATAGTTGATCCTCATTAATTGTGGATCTCATATTTATGAATTTGCCTACTTACTAAAATTTATCTGTAATTCAAAATTAATATTTGTTTAGCTTTTGAGGTCAGCCATGTATACGCACATAATAGCTAAAATCTTTACACACGTCCCAAGTTAAGGTCAAATAAAACTACATTTGGTGTACTTGATTCGGCTCTCATACAGAGATGAACAGTGGACAAAGACAGTAGGGGGTAGTTTGGTACAATGCAAGAAGTTCTGGCTCTAGGCTAACCTGAGAGGGTTTGAATCCTAACTCTGGTAATTGTTAGTGAGATAGCCTTAGGCAAATCATTTAACACTTCTGAACCTCCTTTTTTTTCTTTTGTAAAGAAAATAGAGCCTACCACAATGGGGCCAGCCAGTGGTATGGTAGTTAAGGCACTGGATCCCACATGGCCATAAACATGATCTGAGTCCTGGAGCTGGACCAGGGGCTTGAAATGCCTGTGTGCCCAAAATCCCTGGAGGAGAAAGGATTATAGCATGACATTTCTCACTTCCCCTCTCTGTTTCTCTCTAGCAAGCATACATGTCCCATAGCAAAAACCAAAAAATAAAAAGACTACCAGGGCAAATATGTTTTAAGGATTTAAGATCATTTATGTGAATTATGTAAATATGTACATATTTTTCCTAGGAGCAATAGCTTAATATTCAATATTTCAGTGTCCTAGACTTTATAGACCATAACTACTGTGAATAATGAGAATATACTATAATTATTTATAACAAAATAATAGAGAGACAGGCAAAATTATTCCTTGGATGATACAGAGGTAGTCTTCAAGAAGATTTTGAAGAAACAGAATTTTATTAGGCACATAATGTGTGGAAAAGGCTTTTGAGAGAAAACAGAACCTGCTAAGAGGGGCCCAGGTATGTGGAACATAACAGGTAGGTTCAGAAAATGGCACTGAGAAGTCTCAGGCAGTGCAGATGAAGCCAGAACAGGTGCCACAGGGCTTCTCTGTACCCTTTATATACCTGGACTAGACAATCTCTCTCTTTGCATTTAATTCTTGGTTTTTAGGCCTCTCTTCCATTAAACTGTGAGCTCCTCAAGGTCAAGATCTCTGGGAAGAAATCATAGATAAAGTCCTCTAAATTTGAATAACAATTACTAAGCACAAACATACCTGAAAAGATTGCACAAAAATGACTTTGGTTTTCAACTGCAGCCTTACACCAATTTACAAAAGTGACCAACTCATAGACTGGCAATTTGTCCAGTACTTTTTTTTGAAGACTGCTATAACTCTGTCATAAATTCTTTATATTGTTTTAGACATCTGGGCATTTGTTAGAGCAGTTTTAAGATCTTTCTCTTTTTACTGTGATTTATTAACCAGGCTCAAACATATGGTTCATTAGACAATGCTGCCACCTTAAAGATTCCATTTAATTCACTCTAACAGACCTATTTCTCTCTACATAATATATAATCTTATTATAATAAAATACAGTGAAGTCTATTGATGTGTATCTTACAAATAGGATTAAAAATTTTTTTTAACAAAAGCTTACAAAAATCCTGCCCCAACACAATGAACATGATGTTAAACCCATGCCTTATGTATCTCCACTGAGAACTAAGAAAAACAATTCCACCTTATGTAAAGTCAAAAAACTAAGCTCTGTGAATTCACAAAGTTCAGTACACTTGTATTTTCTCTCTCTCTCTCTCTCTCTCACACACACACACACACACACAGCCTTAGGGATCCGATTAGTTTTATCACAATACTTCAATTTCTTCCAACCTCCAAGATGAAACATTTACTATCCAATATCTAAATTAAAATCTACAGACCTCTAGAATCTCAATGAAGGAGTAGTGAGTTTTCCCCCATAAAATTCCTGGCATATTTTGTTTAGGCACAATATAGTTTGCACTATTATTTAGAAACATATGGCTAGAGTCAGCCCTGCTGGAAATCGAATAGATATTCTATACAAGTGAACTCAAACCCTCTGAAGAGAAAATAGGGAATGTTGTTTTAAAACAGATTCAATGCCGTTATTATCCATTCATAGGTCGCGTGTGATCAAATCACATTGTACTATACAGCTAAGGTGTGTCCTAAATGTTATGACAAAATAAGGTGATCAGGCCCTTACACTGAAAACTGTCAGCCTCCCCAGCTAAACTGCTTAAAGTATAATCCACCTACTTAAAATAATAATAAATTGTAAATCTCTTGCTGCCAGTAAACCCTTTCCACCTACATTTTCCAGCAATTATCACCAAAAGAACTGCATTGAGATAAACATTCTAGAGAAGGTATAGTGATCAAATGCCATCTTAAGCAAGGCAAAAATAGTTTACCAAGAACAAAACCGATTAAAGTTCCCAACCTTGTAAAGCTCCCTATTCAGCGTATTCTGCCTCTCTTGCGTTCACCTTCCAGACGCCTGGAAGACGCAAGTGGAAAATGTTAGTTTCCATGAAAGATGAGGATGAAATTTAGGGGGAAGGAGGAGGTGATGGACTCACTCAGGGAAGAATTGAAGCAGAATTGAAGCAGCCAGCCAAGGTCTCCAAGTCAAAGCAGATATGAAGAATGAGGGCTGGAGTACAGGAGGCGGCGGAGGGAGTATAGAAACGCAGAAAATGCGCGGGGACCTGCGAGTGGGGGAGGGGCAAAACGCGCAACTCCTCTCCCTTCGGCCCGGGAGCGGGGGTATGCCGCCCTGGTGGATTTGCCTGGCACTGTTGACCCGGAGTAGTTAAAGGACTCACAAGTCGGAGAATCCTGTCCGAGTGTCAGAATGTGGCGGGGAGTAAAGGGGGTAGACTGACTCACGAACTTGGGTGGGTAGGGGGGTAACAGAGCACCTGTGCGGGAAAAAGACTAAGACTCTCCAGCGTCCCCGAAGGGCGGGGATTGAGCCCTGCGAACATCCCTTCTAGCAGACGGCCGCGACCCGGGACCCCGCGGGCCTCCCTCCCCACAGGCGCTCAGGTAGGCGCGCGCCGCCCCTCTCAGCCCTGACGGCTATTGAAAGGAGGCGTAGGGCACCCCCTGACCCGGAGAGCGGCGCTTCCCGCGGGTCCTTTCTCCGGCAGTCCTGGTGCCCAAGCCCACCTGGGCTGACGAGAAGCCCCTCCTCCAGATCGTACTCTGCCACTTCTTCGAGAGCCTGAGCCGTCGCCGCAGAAGTAGTCGTCGCCAAAAGTCTCGGCCTCTAGTACCAAAACGTGAGCTACAGCACCAGAGAAGCCCCACTACCACTCGCCAGGTTACCTCTCACTGCACACTGGCTCCTCGCCCCGCCCCCGAACCCAAGCCATTGGTTGCCGGGCACCGCCCCATTCGCCTATTGGACCGAAGACGATGCTGCTCAGTCACCTAGAAGGGCATATATGGTGTTTATTGGTCCAAATGTGAAGCAGTGCCTACCCACTCCCTTAGAAGTTCCACCTTCTGATTGGTTTTAAATTCTGTCTTTTCGCTTCCTCCGTTCTTTCCCTCAGGGTGGGACGCCCCCTTGCGAGAGACATTGTTCTGATTGGCTGCAAGGACCCGACGCTACTTTCGGATAGGCATTGGGCCAAGGATGTATCCGGCCCAACGAGGGGGAGGATCTGAAGGCGCAGCACCTTTGGGTTTGTTTACACAGACTCTGGCTACTGCTTAGTCTATTGGCTGAGCTGGGGGCCACTCCCACTAGGTTTTGCCATTCGCTAGCGAGGAGGAGCGCGGGGCCGGGCCTCGGTGGGATTTCCCCACCTGTCAGTAATCAGGGGAGGAGCGTTCAGTGAGGTTGGCTAAAAAGCTATGTTCTGCCAGGAAAATTAAGGAGTTGAGAGATTTTTGCTATAGGGCGAGTGCACTCGCCCGACAGACTGAGAGAGACAGACAGAAAGTACTAAATCACCCCCCAGGGGCGATGGCCACGCTGCAATCCTTTCTCCATTCTTTTCTGGGGATCTTGGGCAAGCATGCACATGCGTCCAGCTGAGTTTTAAGGTGCCAAGTACTGTACTCCAACCGGGGTCGACTACATGGGAGTCCAGTGATGTAACCATTACGCCATCTGCTGATCCGAGGCTTCCACATTTCTAGTAACAAACCTAACCTCTTGAGTGCTTTTAAAAAAATCTATTTCCCAGGGAACTCAAGCGCCTGGAGGGGTGGGGGAGAAGCCCAATTAAAAGATGGGAAAATGAGCTGAATCAACAACTCTCTAAGGAAGACATGAACAGCCAAGAAGCATATGAAGAAATGAAATGCTCATCTCATCATAAGGGAGATGCAGATCAAAACCACAATGAGACCACCTAACTCCAGTCAGAATGGGTGAAAATTTAAAAAAAAAAAAAAAAGATAAGTGCGGAGGGGATGTAGTGAAAGGGGAACACTCCTACACTATTGGTGGGAATGTAAATTGGTCCAGTCACTGTGGAGAACAACAATATGGAGATTCCTCAAAGGCCTTCAAATACAACTACCATACATATAATCTAGCAATTCCACTCCTGGGTATCTACCCAAAGGACAGGAGAATGCTCAGGCAGAAAAGTGCTTGCATATCTATATTCATTGCACTCTTATTCACAATTGCTAAGACATGGAAACAACCCAAATATCCACAAACGGATGAATGGATTGATAAAGTGTGGTACATATACTCATGGAATATTATTCAGCCATAAAAACCAACAAGGCCCTGGAATCTGATAGAAAGTGGACGGATATGGAAGATTTGTTACTGAGTGAAGCAAGTCAGGCTATGAAAGAGAGACATTGTATATCTCCACTTAACATATGCCAACTGTCTGCACTCTATGGCAGAGACTAAAAGACTGGAGAGCACATAAGCATTAAAAATGGTTATGGACACTAGAGCCAAAGTGGAGAGGGTGGGAGGGAAAGGAAATTTGGGGGAAAAATAGAGAGGTAAGACATCTGTGGGACACAGATATAGTCTATTACTTGTTGATGAGGACATGTATAGTATTCTCAGCTGGGCTGCACTGGGGTGTATAACATGCTGGGTAAAGTCTCTTTACAATCTAAATGATCTATAGCAATTAAATGTATAAATAATAATTAAAATTCATTTAAAAATCTATCTCCCCCCTTTCATTTAGGATTTCCAACCTTTCCTTACTGAAACTTTGTATTTTACTCTTCAGTAAATGGGAGATTTCATTATGCAAATTTTCTTAGCATATAAGGCAAGTGTGTTTTCTGGGGATAGAGGGAGAGAGAGAAAGAGTGAGAGAGGGGAAGTGAGCAATTACCCCCAGTGGGGATGGCCATGCTGCAACCCCTTCTACATTTGCCTGTTGGAATTTTGGGCATGAACACATACATGTCTGGTGTGTTTTTCAAGCTGCCAAGTCTGGGACTCAAACTGCTTCGGGCCTGTAGGATCCAGCTGCCTTAACCATGTCACCAGTTGGCCCTCTTTACAAAACATTTGCATTGTATCTCTTTGTTTCCATCCACCTCTGATGTTGCCTATTATTTTATTTATTGACTTTTTTGGAGAGGTTTTTGCTATAGGGCATGTGCGCTCACCAGAAAGACAGAGACAGACAGACAGAAAGCGAAAAATCACCTCCCGGAGGGATAGCCTTGCCACAATTCCTTCTCCTCCATTCTCCTCTCGGGATCTTGGGCACACACACACAGGCACCTGGTGTGAGTTTTAAGCTACCAGGTCAGGGATTTGAACCACGGTTGACTACATGGGAGTCCAGCAACATAGCCATTATGCAAACTGCTGGTTCTAATGCTGACTGATTATAAGAGGACTTCGAAAAGCTCATGGAAGAAGGACACCATGCTCTAAACTCACCTCCTAGACTCCCAAAATATTCAGACAAGAAGCCATTTTAAAGCTGAGGTGTGTCCATGTGTTCAGGAAGCCATGCTCTAAATCTGCCTCCTAGACTCCCAAAATATTCAGATAAGCTTCACTCTCCAGACCCTTAATGTCTACATAGGCCTACGTGCACAGGAGCCAAGTATCTGAATCCTTTTAGATTCATTGAAATCCTCAATGCTTATTGAATCTCTTGCTTTAACGAAGAAATTTCTTTCTATAAATCTGAACTAATCTTACTGTTTATACCATATATATATATTTTTTTTTTGAGAGGTTTTTTTCGCTATAGGGCATGTGCGCTCGCCAGACAGACAGAGAGAGAGATAGAGACAGAAAGCGAGAAATCACCCCCCAGGGGGGATGGTCACGCTGCAATCCCTTCTCCTCCATTCTCCTCTCGGGATCTTGGACATGCACGCACACGCGCCCGGCGTGAGTTTTAAGCCACCAGGTCCGGGACACGAACCGCAGTTGACTACGTGGGAGTCCAGCGACATAGCCATTACGGTAACTGCTGGTTCCCTATACCATATTTATAAAGCACTGTGGAGGAGAAATTTTGTCACAGAATGACCAGAAACAACTGCAGAGGTACAAGAAACATGAGAAACCAAGAAAATGCCTCTCTTGTAAGGGAAAAGAACAATACCTCATTACCTACAAACAGTACAGTAAAATTCTTGGAAATGTCTGATAAAGACTTCAGAATATTCATATTGACAAAACTAAATGAGATACAAGAGCTGAGAGATAATGAACTCCAGAAGATGAAGGAAAATAGAGACAACGAGTTCCAGGAGGTGTTGAAGTTCTTTCATGATCTGAAAGAGGAAATACACACCATGAAAAAGAATCAAATGGAGCTATTAGAGATGAAGGCTGCCCTTCAGGAAATCAAAACATCCCTTGAAAGTATTAAAAGCAGATTAGTCCATGCAGAAAATTGAATCTCGTATGTTGAAGGTGAAGCCTCTGATCTAGGAAAAAAACAACCAAAAAGACTGAGAAAATACCCCCAAAAATGAGAATACTATATGAGAAATACTAGACAGCATGAAGCACCCAAACATTCAGATAATTGGTATCCCAGAAGGTGAAGACACTAGTGAGGACATTGATAATCTATTCCATGAAATCTTGGAAGAAAACTTTCCAAATCTAAAGAGGCATTCAAATATCCAGACCCAAGATATACAAAGGACCCCTAATATAATCAACCCAAGAAGATTTTCTCCAAGGCACATCATAGCCAGACTGGTCAAATCTACAGACAAAGAGAAGATACTAAAATTGGCAAGAGAAAAACATCAGGTTACTTATAAAGGATATCCTTTCAGGCTAACCTCAGACCTCTCATCAGAAACAA